GGCGGTCGTGGTGCGGGGGGGGGGGGCGCCAGCCCGCCACAGGATTGTTTTCTCTCAGCATCTTTTTGGTATTTGCCTTCATGCGCGGTTCAGTTCATCCGTTAGTTCTGGGCTGGATGCTGAATCTCCAAATTCCAGTTGCTGTTGCTCACTGGAGCGAGCTGCAGCTCGACCCTGTGCCTCCTCTGCTCTGTCTGGTGCTGAATGTCACCGTGGCATGGGTGGAAGATGTGCAAGGGGAATGTCTGGGTAGAGAGGAATTGAGAGTTCTGTGCCTTGTGGTGGAGATCAGAACTGGGAAGGGGAAAGCGTCCCTGGGCTGGTGGCCAGCAACGCAGCAGCCGCACCTCAGTGCCTTGGCGCAGCACTCCTGCCTCTGCGTGCGTGCCAGGTCCCTGTCTTCGGCAGCTGCGAGACACAAGCAGCAGCTGTTCCTTGTGAAATGCTGATACAGCGCTAAACCAAGCGCCGGCTTGGGCAGCGCAAGTGAGTCTGCGAGGGGGAGAAGTGCTGGAACAAAATCAGTCGTTAAGCATCGGACTTGAACAAATGCTGATCCATTGATAACGCAGAAGGGCAAGGAAACATGAGGCAGAGAGAGATGAACCCCTCGGTCCCGCATGCGGGGTGCTCTGCCCCAAAGCGCGTTGTGAGACTGAGAAACGAGCGCGTTAACTTCATCGGGTCACGGCTGCCATCACGGCATCAGAGCACAGATCTGCACGGCGCAGCACAGGCCAGGGTGGGAGCGGGGAACACCAACCAGGGGGAGCTTTCCCATCGGTGAAAAAAAAAGCAAAGCTACCTCCCCAGCGCCTGCTGTGGGGCAGGTGAGCGGGCTTGAGAGCAGTGTGGCACTATGCAGGTCTCCACAGGGCCAAATCGGGAAAGCCGATGAAATGTGCTTGTTCTTAAGCTCTGTAGGACTGCTGCCTTCTTTTGTCATTCATTTGAATTTGTGTTTGGTTTTACTTTGTCGTGGTTTGTTGGTTTTTTTTTTAGTGGGATGAAGCTCTCTTAACAATGAGTAAAGGAGAGAAGGCTCAGCTGGAAATTGAACCCGAGTGGGCATATGGCAAGAAAGGGCAGCCTGATGCCAAGTATCCTTCCACAGCCAGTTGCTCGTGAAGTAACTGGGAAATGCGTACTGGAATGATGGGCTTTGTGGCCAGGGGTGTCAGGCCAGGAGCACTCACCTATTACTCGGAGTTTAAAAACGCTCAGTGAATTTAATGGATGGATGCAACTGCCCGTTTGTTTGGAAGAACTCCCCAGGCCCATGCAGAGATTGTTTCTGCCTGCCCGTTTACTCTCATTGCTTCCAGCTGCGCGGTCCTGCAGCCCCACCGGGGATGCTTCTAGGGCGATGGGGAGGTGGGAGCAAAGTTCTGCTCCAACTGAAGGTAGCAGGCGAACCGCAGCTTCTGGGATACAGCTGAGCAACCGGATGGAGGGACTGGTCGAAAGCCAAGACGGCAACGGGTTGGAGAAATACAAAACTGCAGGATGGGAAAGAGGGAGCAGGGGGTGAAGTGCGGACATGGACAAAGCGGGGGAGCCAGGGGGTGGGGTGTTTGGTTTTTTTTAGGCTTCCTTAATGTGCGCTAACAGGATTCCACCAAACGCAAAACTCTTCTTTGAAGTGGAATTGGTGGATATTGAATGAAATGAGTTTCCTTTGGGAATCCATTTGTGATTGAGAAAGCTTCAGGCAGTGCAGTTTTGCTCCTGTAACTTCAGGATAGAGTTACAACCGTGGCCTTGAACCAAAATCAAGTTTGTTTTCCCTGTCCAACTGCTGTACAGTAACACACCACTAAAGAAAGCATAGTTTATACCTCTGTGTGACTTCTTTTTTGCATGCGCGTTCAACTTTTCTTTTACTGGGAGGGGGTGGAATTCCATACGTGTGCGGAACAGACCCTGGGGGAAGGGCCGTGGCTGTGCTGGTTCTCCCTTTCCACACCCAGGGTCAAGCCTGAAGCAACGCGCTTCCCTTTGAGCTTTACAAGAGCACTTGCCCAACGATTCTGGTTAAAACGTTAGAAGAGGAAAAAAATAGCATTAATCTTCTTGCTCTTGTCTAAGCTAGGAAAACAACATTTCTGCTAAATTTCTGCTTTAAAGGCGCTTTATAGAATGGCCAGGTGTGATGCCCACCCCCTTCTAGAAGAGAAGGGCGCGTGCTGTGGTGGTCCCATGCCGTAGCCATGGACATCATTTACAAAGCAGGTGCTGCAGGGAGACGCTGGTGTTCTTGCTCGTGGCTGGAAGGAGGCAATCCAAGAAAGCGCAGAGGACTACTGAATTCCTTGCTTTTATTACAAAAATGGGAATGATCACTTTGATCAAAATGAAAAAAAGTTTGCTCACACTGTGTACATGAAAAACTCTAAATACAAAAAATCATCCCAAACACAGTTTTGTGCTTTTTAAAAAAGAATGCAACATCATTTTGCACCACGTTTTGATTTTTGACCACCCCCCCTCCTTCCCCCCCCACCTCAGAAAATAGAAAACACGTATCGCAGCTCACAAAGGCCGCCGACGTCATCGGAAGGGTTTTTATCGTGACCAAGTCGACAAAGCAGTCCGGGATGGGCGTGCTGGGGCAGGGGTGGGAGCAGAGCAGGAGGGCCCAGCCGAGCTCCACGGCTGGCAGCCACCCCGGCCTGCCCGCCTCCCGCAGCGGCCAACAGAACAGCTTCGGGGAAAAGAGAAATGAAACACAAATCCTTACCCCTTTACTGATTAAATTGATGGAATCAGCGTGAGGCTGGAAAAAAAAAATAATTCTTCAGATACCTCCATAAATTAGTGCGGGGAATAAAAAAAAAAAGCATTCATGGTAAACTAGAATAGTACAGAGATACCATTATCAGTTACCAGCACACAAATCTTGCTTCACACATACCCTGTGAACATCAGCTCATTTCACATGCAAAGGACCCAAAAGCAGGTATTACAACAGTTCTTTCACATCTCTAATTTAGAAAAATATATCTTTTTTTATTCCATCTTTGTTGAAATGGCAGCACAGTGAACTTCATTCTTCGGATCAGGTTGGATGATAATACTGTCCGTAATTCCAGGCGTTCTGGTAATTGTACTAGAAAAAAACAAAAACACAGCAGGGTAAGGTAAGCGGGGAAGGACACCCGAGGACAAGCCGTCCCTCAGTCCGGACGGATGCAGGGCATGTCACCCTGTTGCGACTGTCACTCGGGACACATTCTGGTCCGGGTACCTCTTCACAAGCCCGTGAGCGGGAACGCGCGAGGGAGCGGGAACGCACGCTGGTGCTCCTTGGCAGGTGCTCCTTGGCAGCGCAAGGCCGCGAGCTCCCAACACCTTAAAGACCCTCTGGAGGTCAGCGTGGGTGTGGCGAGTCTTCCAACAGGGGACACGTTGGGGGTGCACCCTCGCTCCTCAGGTCCCCGCAGTGGCACCTGCTCTATGGCTCCGCATCACTCGCCTTTCAACAGAATCTCGTGAGAGGGAGGGAAAAGGGAAAGGAGACAGGAGCTGCCCGTGTCCAAGCTCCGTGCCTGCTGTTAGGGCACATCCCGTGGGATAGGGAGCCCCAGCA